CCTTTTTCCACCTCTCACATGCCTATGCTATGGCGGACTTCCCCCATGAGGGCTCTGCCCTGCTGTGCAAAGGACAACGCAAAGCAGCTATGTCGCTGCACTCCTGTCCAAAGGACAACCCAAAGCAGCTATGCCGCTGCTGACTGAGCCGCCATGCCTGATTCTGCCTCGAGCTGCCTTGGTACGGCACCACCCCTATTGGGGCCTTCCAGATGCGGCACCCAACAAGGTGATGGAGATGGTGTCCACCATAGCCAGGTAGGAACCTCACCACTCTCCTCCTACGCCCCCTTCTTGCTCCTCCTAAGGCTGGGCTGCTCACCATAGCAAGGCTGAGCGCCCAGCTGCTCGTCACCTCCAGGCAGCGCTGCCCAAGTCCGGCGATTGGCTCCAGCAGCATGTCGCCAATCCTTGCATACCGCAAATGAAGATGAGCTGCTTGCTCCTCCGGAAGATATAGCAGTCTACTGGCCTTTTGGGCGGTAACTTCCTAGGTCGAGCGGCCTCCCAGCAACTGGTACCTCCTCCCTTTCGGAGGGAAACATCATTCCAGGCTCCGCTATTGTCCGAACAGGCCCTAGACTCGAGCTACTTGGACTGGTACCAACCTACCTCTAACCTACTGCTACTCGGCCTCTAAAAATGCCGACTTTTTAATCTTCTTCTGCTCGGCCTCCAGTACCCGAGACTTCTACCACTACATGAGTGGTACCGGCCTACCTGCTACTTTAGTGTTTTTCCCGCTGCTCTAAGTGTCGTGGGCCTACCCCCCCTACTTGAGTGTTTTCCCCGCTGCAACCCTCAAAGTCATGGCCACAGATAAGTACCGGCCCTGCGGGGCCTTTCAACCAACAAGTACCCTTGCGGGTCACACACACACTCAGCCGACAAGCACTCAGACAGGCACGCACACACACACACAGACTTGGAAACCACAGCAGAATGCGGACATCTCAACAAGGCATTCATTCCAACGGCAAATCCCAGAAATCAGCAGTGTTCTCAGTTTGTGTTTTGGTGGGTCATTACACTATCCCCCTCTCAAGAGCGAGGTCCCTTCGAGTGAGTAACTCATTCAGAGTCGGCACAAAATGCATCGTAGGCGAAGATCGGAAAGAGAAATTTAGTAAGACCGTGAGGAGTGAGTTTTGCAGAAAACTTAGCAGTCTGTCCATCAGCGATCTGTCGTTCATAAGCGTTAACAACTCGGGGAGCATTCTTTAGCAGCTTTTTTCGGTCGATCCAAAAGAACTAGTTCAACGGGTGATCGAGGAAGTGAACCTTGTGCTGTTTGTTCCTCCTTTTCCTTCATGGAAAACAATTTTGTCTATCTCATGGCCGCCGTCGATAGGACGAGGTATCATAGGATCTCGGAAGGGAAAAGTCTCATCATCGATGTGTGGAAACAGTTTGGACGTGTGAAAGTCCGCATATGTGCGCAGATGAGGAGGCATGTCAATCACATACGAAGGGCCAAAATCATCCCCAACCACCTTCAGAACCTGCCAAGGGCCATATTACAGTGGAATAAGCTTTCGTGATACGCCCTCTTCATCAGAAAACTCAGACATTTTGACACAGGCATAACTTCCTACTTCAAAGTTCCCTTCTTTGCGCGACTTGTTAGCATGTTTAATCATGGCATGCTGACGCTCGTTCATTGCTGCAATAGCAGCTTTGAGCAAGCGTGCATACTTGGCATTGTAGCCAGGCATGTCGGGCAACAAACCAGGTGACCGTTCGCGGAACAGACAGGAAAGAGGATTGCGCAGCTGCCATCCGTATTGCAGCTGATTCGGTGTCATGCCAGTTGCGGAGTGAATGGAGTTGTTGTACAACCCCTTCACTTTGTGTAACTCCTTGTCCCATGTGTTCTGACCTGGAACAATTAACGCGCGAAGTAGTTGAAGGACAGTCTGGTTGATTTCCAAGGCCAATCCATTCGCTTCGGGGTGTCGACCAAAAGTCTTGTAGAGTTTAATGTCGTAGATCTGAGAAGTGAAGTCCCTCCAATCTTTACTAATGAATCTGGTGTCCCGATCACTCACAATAGTTTTCGGGTGGCCAAACAGCAAAATGTACTGCTGATGATATTCTTCGATCACAAGCTCAGTTGGGGCATAGGGAGGGAAAGGAATCAAATTCAAAATTTTGGAAAAATGATCCATGATGACCATGACTTGTGAATTTCCTCCCTCACTCACCTTTACCATGTCCGTGAAGTCAATGGAAATCGACTCACCGAGTCCATCAGGAATGGGAAGGGGTTTCAGCAGGCCATAAGGCTTATGCCTATGGACCTTGGTCCTTTGACAGACTTGACATTCAGCAACAACTTATAAGTTGATCCCTTCATTCCCGGCCAATCAAACTGCTGCAAAAGACGTCCATAAGTCTTCTCAAAGACAAAGTGTCCACTCCGACCATGTGCCAAATCCAAGAAATGAGTCCGGAGAGGTGCATGGTTGGGTACACACAAACAATCAAACTTCCCATACCGGCGGAATACAAGACCCTCACATTCATGAAAATCAGGCTGACTGCTAGGGTCAGCCTTGAGCTGCTCAAGAATGGGACTAAGGTCCGGATCCTTGGCAGTGTGTTCGACCAGATCCTCCTTTAGTTTCCTTCGGAGGTCATACAAGCTCACAAGGCAAGTCAAAAACTCAGGATGGCAGGACAAGGCATCAACAACACGATTATAACAGCCTTTCTTGTGTTTCAGTTTGTAAACATTAATGTCATGCAACCAGCGGGTCAACGTCGGAGAGAGATCAGTTTGCATTTTAATCCACTGCAAGGTCTTATGATCTGAGTAGACCTTGAAGTAGCAACCCAAGAGGTAGTGCTTCCAATGTGTGAGCGCTTCTTGCACGACATAGAGCTCACGCGTATACGTGGTGTTAGCTACCTTGTGGTTGGGCATGCGTTTGCTATAATGCTCGAGCGGACGCAGGCCATCACCATCATCTTGTTGCAGCACTGCACCAATCCCATACTGGCTCGCGTCCATAGTAACTAAGAATGTGAGGTTGGGATCCGCAATGCGGAGCACAGGATGACTTACCAAAGCCTTTTTCAAGGCTTGGAACACAGTCTCGCATTTCTCATCATTTCCATTTTTGGGGGGCAGTTAAGAGTAGTCGCACACGGCCTGTAGTTTCCAATAGCCACCGCTTTGTCAGACGCATTTTCCAGCACACCGTTGATAGATACCAGAAAACGTGGTGCTTATCGAACGGCCCATCTCACAAATCGGCACAATCTGATCGGGATGGGTCGCGATGTTGTGTTACACCCGACCTAGGGTTACACCTCACCAGAAGAACTTCAATCGCAGGTAATAGACATCTCGAGGACATGGCCCCATCCCCCTGAAAAAAGGGTTCGCAAAATAGTCGCGCCAGACCATTCACCAGTCTCCAGCATTGTGAATGTATTGGGAAAACAATGTGCCTCTGATATATTCAAGATGTTGGCATTTGACAAGTGACGCAGCCACACATTCGACTGAAAGGAACAGAAGACCCAAGCAGCACCATGAAAAAAGAGTCCCCGCATGGCACAGAAAGAAGCGATGGAAATTCCCACTCTGACAACCATGGACACATACCAGCCACACATTCGACTGAAGGGAACGGAAGACCCCAACAGCACTGCGAAAAAAGAGTCCCCGCACGATGCAAAAAGAAGCAATGGAAATTCTGAAGCTCCAACAACCACTGACACACATACCTCACGACACTCAACGCAAAACAGATCACCCACTGACACACATACCCCACGGCACTCAATGCAAAACAGATCACATTGCATTGGCGGAGAATGAAGCACCGCCACGAGACAAAACATGTAGACAAGGAAAGACCAAAAAACAAAAAACGCAGCCAAAGAAGAGCAACACTTCTTTTTCAGCCCATATAGATCCAATCGCCCAAACCACTGACTGACATCACACGTCTGAGAATAATTCCAGCTGTGACAGGCGGTCAGAAGTTTACATCGCACGTCTCACATTCGCGGATCCAACAGTGGACTGCAAGAGCAGGAAAACGAAGACATGGCGGCCACCCAGGTGGGGTGACAGTTCAACACAAACCAGTCCACTCAAACGCAAATCCAACAGCCACGAAGCATCAGTAGGGGTCTAGAGGGGATGCAGCCAGTAAGCTTCAGAGAGAAGTCGACTGTTTGTAGGTGAGGGCATAGGAGTAGTGTAGGAGAGCTACTACATTGTGGTTGTATTGATGAGTGGAGGCGAGAAGTTCGGCTTTTATTATCAAGAGACTTCAGCATCATTGTGCTCTCATTTTGTGTGCTCTCAGCTTCGCAGTCCTGTTTTCGACTTTGCTCACATATGCTGGTTCCGCTTTGACTCTTATGCAGCATGGAAGTTTTGTGCTCTCATTGATTGGTTTCTGGCAGAGATATAAGAACCAACTTAATCCTCTTCTCAGTTGTATGTGGCCCGTAGTCGCCTGAACCTGGAACTTCTGGCCATAGTTGCCTGGTCCTGGAACTACCTTTGAGCTTGAAAACAGGACGCTGGTGAAAAAACAGGCGAGATTCATGCTAACTTAGCACAAACATATCAGAAGTCGGATCTGCCGCTTACACAAGAAGAATGACAATCACAACGCCTACAGGGTGTATCAGATTCAGCATCCCCTCGATGAACCTCTACTCGAAAAGACTTCAAAAAGCCGTAAGAGAAATGTTCACACATTCAGCTGTCCTATGCATTCCTAGCTCTCCAACAACACCCAATCCCCCCCCCCCATTTAGAAACGTAAGATATCACTAAGGCTCCACTTCGTGAGGGAGAGAAACAAGTTCACTGATAAGGAGAAACATGCACCATTCCCAATCGGTGCATTTTCCTGTTGTTTGCTTTTAACCTTTTCTTTTCCTGAACTTTTTTTTTCGTAGAGAGAGGCAAAGGGAGGCTGGGGTGGTTAAAGGGAAAAAGACATTGCTCCGAGTTCTTATGGCCTCCTCACCTGGAATATCAACCGCTTTTGTCTTCTGTCAGGCAGTGGGAACTCTATTTTTCGATCGAGCCTGCCAGGACGCAGGAGGGCAGGATCTAATGTATCCGCACGATTGGTGGCCATGATAACCTTCACATTCACCGTCTGGTCGAACCCATCCATCTGCAATCAGCAAGCACAAGGTCAACACGATGACCGGCCACAGAAACAGGGGGATAAGTTGGAGAAAAAGAAGAACTTTAGTCACATCTCTACCTGCAGCAGCAGACTCCCAAATAACAAAAGAATAACTGGAAAAGCAATGTTGTCACAGGGTCTGACAGAGGTAGAACTGTGTTCCACATGACTCCTTTTTGCAAATGACATGCATCCTTAAAATTCAGCAAAGAAAAGAAGAGAAGCCCCGACGTGCCACTGCATAGCAAATTAGAAACAAGCTCGCAGCTGAGAAAGCCCATGCCCAAGAATCAGAACAGTACTCCAACATGCGGTTAGCTTAAACCATGGACGGCATTGCCAAGAAAAAAAATCAAGCAAACGAAAAAAGTGAAACGAGTCAAAAAGTGGACAGCAAAAACGATAGCAAAACCCGTGATCCCATGTCTCACAGTTGACCACGCACTCAGAGCACTGGAAGACCCCAAACTTCGCTAGCCCCCACAATTGACCACACACCCAGAGCACTGGAAGACCCCAAACTTCACTGGCCGGCACAATTGCCCACACACCCAGAGCACTGGAAGACCCAAACTTCACTGCGCCCCCGCCAGCGACAGCAACTGATCAACAAGATGCGGCAAGACACCAATTTCAACACACTCATATCATATCATATCATATCATGGAGCATCCAACAAGATGCGGCAAGACACCAATTTCTACACACTCATATCATATCATATCATGGAGCATCCACCATTTCACATTCTCCCACGCATACCTGATTCAGAAGTTCCATCAGAATGCGCTGGACCTCGCGATCGGCACCAGTCTGGGCATCAAATCGAGCCGTAGCAATAGCATCAATCTCATCAATGAAGATGATAGCTGGCGCATTTTCCTTGGCCAGTCTGAACACATCTCGAACCATCCTGGGACCCTGCGCAAACATGAGCAAGCAGATAGAAGCAACAAATTGACACACGCATTGCTCTCCCGGTCAGCACATAAGAAACACCGGCCACCGATGTATGTCACAAGTCACACCACACAGGAAAACCTGGCCTTTGATGTTCGGCACTGTTGCATACCGTAACGGTGCAGACCAGAACAAGAACCGACGTCTCTCACATAGTTCAAGATAGCGCAGCGGAAGGCTAATATACCAATGATCCGAACAATCAAGGTTGCAATGCATACCAACAAACATACATCATCATCATTCCATGGTGTGAAGGGGCCTGGCGCTCACACAGGAAGAATGCGCCAGTCCCCAACCATACACAGGCGAAGAGGAGGGGGGTTAGGCGAAGAAGACGGGAAGATGGAAATGTCGTCAACACCAAGTCTTCAGTACAGGTCCCAAATAATCCCTCGTCCAATGTCGAGTCTGAATCCAAATGTCGTCAAGTCCTAAAGTCACAAATCTCTCTCTCTCTCTCTCTCTCTCTCTCTCTCTCTCTCTCTCTCTCGTAGTGTTACATGCTGCGCCCACAACAGGCTGCACGGGCAACTTCGGGCCCGTGATGTGACGTTTTCAGGCCAAAAGCCTGAAAACAAGGGCCTACAGGCCCCTTGTCGTTTCAGCCTGAAAGCCTGAAAACAAGGGCCTACAGGCCCTGTGTCGTTTCAGCCTAAATCAGGGCCTTTCCGGCCCTGAGTCTTTTCAGCCTGAAACTGAGGGCCATTTTCAGGCCCTCCTGAGTTCGGCCTGCCCCGAAACTCAGGCACCAAACCAGGGTTTTAGCTCAGGCCATTTTTGGCCTATTTTCAAGACAACCTTCGTTTGAGCTTCAACCCCAGGGTCTGGCACGTTTTGGCATTGGCAAGAGCAGCCTCCTGGACGGGCCAGCACTATAAAGGACTGCCCCCCCCTGCAGACTGCAGGTGACTTCACGTGCAGTTCAGGAGGCAGGAGGTAGTCTTCAGGATTCGGCAGGAGCACTCCGGAGGAGCGCTGCAGTAGTAGTTGTAGCGCAAGCAGTAGTCTTCAGCGCTGGGCGCTAGTAGCATTAGCAGTAGTCTTCAGGGCTGGGCGCCATAGGAGCTAGAGCAGTACTAGATAGAGGGAGAGATTGGGCGGAGGCCAGGGGGACTTACCTGCAGCGCCATCACTCCAGCTTCTTCTTCTAGGTGCCTGCAGCACAGCGCCACCTTCACAGGTTAGTACCTGGCATATGAGAGAGAGAGAGTTCTTCTTCTTCCTCTTCTCAGTCCACCATCCACCTCTCCCTCTCGTTATCTGACTTCACTGCATCAGCAGACTGAGAGAGAGAGAGAGAGCTTGGTGACATTTGGATCCAGACTCGACATTGGACTTCAGACATTTTGACGAGGGATTATTTGGGACTTGTAACGGGACTTGGTGTTGAAGACTTTCCCATCTCTCCCCTCCTCTTCTCCGTCTGATCCTCTCCTCTTCGTATGTGCATGAAATGGACCTGGCGCCTCTTCCTGTGTATAGCGCCAGGCTCCCTTCACACCATGTGGTGAGAATGATGTATGTTTGGTCTGCGTTGTAACATTGATTGGGTTAGTCATTAGTATTCTAGTATTCTGCTGCGCTATCTTGTACTACGTGAAAGAGGTCAGTTCCGGTCAGGTCAAGACTTGTATCTAAGTCTTCCACTGCGCTGTGAAGCACCATTTTGTATGTATCAGAATGTACACTGCTTGTTGAGATTTCACTTGTCTGCAGATACTGAGAAGTTAGGTGGAGGGAGAGATGGTGGACTTAGAAGAGGAAGAAGAAGAACTCTCTCTCTCTCTCTCTCTCTCTCTCTCTCTCTCTCTCTCTCTCTCTCTCTCTCTCTNCTCTCTCTCTCTCTCTCTCTCTCTCTCTCTCTCTCTCTCTCTCTCTCAGTCCGGTACTAACCTGTGAAGGTGGCGCCTTGTTGCAGGTACATCGAAGATGAAGCTGGAGCTATGTCGCCACAGGTAAGTCTCCCTGGCCTCCGCCAACCATCTCTCTCTCTCCAACGCTACTTCAGCTCCTAATAGCGCCCAGAGCTGAAGACTACTGCTAACACTACTACTACTACTGCAGTGCTCCTCCAGAGTGCTGCTGCCGAATCCTGAAGCCTGCCTCCTGCCTCCTGCACGTGACGTGCCTGGGAAGTCCCTATCCACCACCTGCAGCCTGCAGGGCCAGTCTTGTATAGTGCTGGCCCGTCCAGGAGGCTGCTCTTGCCAATGCCAAAGCGTGCCAGACCCTGGCATTGAAGTTCAAACAAAGGTTGTCTTGAAAACAGGCCCGAAATGGCCTGTGCTAAAACCCTGGTCTGGTGCCTAAGTTTCAGCGCAGGTCGATCTTATGAGGGCCTGAAAATGGCCCTCCGTTTCAGGCTGAAAAGACTCAGGGCCTGGAGGGCCCTGTTTTAGGCTCAACCGACACAGGGCCTGTAGGCCCTCGTTTTCAGGCTTTCGGGCTGAACCGACACAGGGCCTGTAGGCCCTCGTTTTCAGCCTGAAAGGCTGAAACGACACAGGGCCTGTAGGGCCTCGTTTTCAGGCTTTTAGGCTGAAAACGACACAGGGCCTGGAAGGCCCTGATTTCTGGTCGGGCCTTGCAGGCCCGTGTGGCTGCGCAGTATGCCACAGGCGCAGTTCTTTGAGTAAATGGTACACCAAATCTGCAGTGGGGTACTGGTCGAGTCTGACAGTATAAAAAGTCTCAGAAGAAAAGAAATGAGTTCATTCACCAGAGGCACATCCACTAGCAAAGACGATTGGATTCATCACCTGAATCTGGATGTGTTTAATTGAGCTGAGCAAATCCAGACCAATCACAATTTCCTGCACCTCTCCACGGAAAAGCATCTACATTCAGGCTTAAAATCCAATTATCTTTGCTAGTGGGATTGCACCCCAGGTTGACCATCCAGAGCTCCTGGCACTCATTTTCTTAAGCCACCACACTACCTTCTCAAATAGGGGCAGACACACGAGGAAAGAGGGGGAAAGGGAGGAAAGGA